ATTAATGGATATTTATTTCCCTCTGAACCCGCAGGGTGTGAGTGACATTTCTGCACACAGTCAGAGTTTTTTTCCTTGTTTTCCTATTTCTCTCTCCAGGCATTCCCCTCTCTCGTTTCTCTTTGTCCTGCAGTTTTTTCCCCGTTTTCCATCACACGGACTCCCCAATATTCACTGCCCAGCGGTTCCAGTTCAGGGGTGAGGGTGTTCCAGGGGCCCTGCAGGGCTCTCCCCTTACCCTTTYCCATGGATTTGTTCTCCAGGCACTCCGGGAGTTGGGAAAACCACGCTGGGGAAGGAGCTGGCATCCCGAGCGGGGCTGAGCTACATCAACGTGGGGGACTTGGCCAAGGAAGGTGCGGTGTCACAGCATCCCCGGGGCTCTGGGGACATTCACTCTGTGCTGGCTCAGCACTGGGGATCCCTGCAGCGTGTCTGGAGAAGGCTCTGGAACACTTTCCAGTACCTGGAGGGGCTCCAGGGCAGTTGGAGAGGAACTGGGGACAAGGGATGGAWGGGATTTTGGGCAGGAATTGTTCCTGGATGGAATTCCATCCCTGGATCCCTTTGAGTGCCCAAGGCCAGGCTGGACATGGGGACAGTGGGARGTGTCCCTGCCATGGATGGGGTTGGTGCTGGATGGGATTTAGAGTCCCTTCCAACCCAAATCATTCTGTGATTGAAATGAAAAAAGTAATTTATTAATTAAACTCCTGAAACAAACATTCCCATGTCGATTTCTCCCCCACAAACTCCCCCTGATGATCTCTGCTGCTGCAGGAGAGCTTTATGAAGGTTTTGATGAGGAGTACGACTGCCCCATTTTGGATGAAGACAGGGTAAGCCCAGCTCCCAGCCCCATCCTCGGTGTTTTTTGGGCTGWGTGGAGGCAGTCCAGCCCATCTCTGTGTGCTCTGTGCAGGTGATTGATGAGCTGGAGGACAAGATGAGCGAGGGAGGGGTGATTGTGGATTACCACGGCTGTGACTTCTTCCCCGAGCGCTGGTTCCACATCGTGTTTGTTCTGCGCACGGAAAATTCGTTTCTGTACGACAGGCTGGAAAGCAGGTGTGTCCCTGGGGCAAATATGGGGGAAAATGCTGTTGTGAGRCTTCATTTAGGGGTAAAAATCACTGATTCTCCAAAAATCTGCTCTGTTTTCTCTGTTCCTCACACCGTCTCTTGGTGCTCCTGTTCTCTAGGGGCTACACGGGGAAGAAGCTGCAGGACAACATTCAGTGTGAGATTTTTCAGACTCTTTACGAGGAAGCYGTGTTGTCATACAAAAAGGAAATTGTGCACCAGTTACCCAGCAACACTCCCGAGGACCTGGAGAGAAATTTGGATCAGATTATGCAATGGATTGAGCAATGGATGAAGGACAACAACTGACTTTGGGTGAAACCGTAACTGCTGCGTCTCTTGTGGGGAGGGAGGGTTTCATAAATGGTATTTGTAATTCTTGTATTATAAATGAACATGAATTTTGTTGTAATTGAACGTGGCTGGGGAGTAGAATAAGGATCAGAGTAGCCAGGTTGTGTGGGTTTGTGACACAGCCTGCAGAGGCAACAGGAGAACTGATAAAAGTGAATTTAAGGATGAAAACAGCACGGTTGCTCTGAGTAGCAGGAGCTGTGCTCAATAACTGAGAATTCTTCAGACTTTATCATGAATTCCCCACGAGAAAACTCTAAAATGATGATAACTGGTGGCAGTTGGGGCACTTTTGGTTTCCAGAGGGTGGAAGAGTGTCCTGGAAAGGCGTTGTTCTTGTGCTTAGTTGTGAGACTGGAACCTGCTGTGCTCCACTGTGGATTTTGGGTGTGAGTATAAAGTGAGGGGTTTGGTACAGGTGAAGGTGTGTCCTTTGTTTTGTTAGAGATTTATTTAAAAATGACTGCACAGAACTTTGGAGATCCCTTCGTGTGTCAGCAAACACCAGCTATGTCTGCACTTCTCCCGAGTGTTTAACAATAAACTTTCCTTTTTCTCTGCATTCCCCAACCCCTGTGCCAATCACGCAATAAATACATCACTGCAGGTTTACCCAGGAAATGCATTCTTTGTCAGGACAAACCYGCAGTGATCCYAAATGTGATCTCAGTCCCGGCAGCYGTCTGTTYTAATTGCAATTAAAGCCYGGGCCCCAGGGGGGCAGGGCTGTATAAGGAAGAGGAAACCTAAAACTGCTCGGGAAGAAAAGCCTCGTGAAAGATTCTGTGGGAAGTGCTTGCTTACAAACCCTTTAWATACACGAGTTTGGACAGTAAAATTACTTTTTTTGTAAATTTATATTGTAAAGAGCATTATTGCTGTGTGTTAATGATTTTAATTTTTATTCCAAATGTACTGTTGGATTTTTTTTTGTGACAATTGCACAGTGATAGTGGATAAGCAATTTGATATTATAAACCCAAATGGTGAAAAATAGTGAGTTTGCTTGGAGAATGGGGGCCCAGGCACTGTGGAAACTCCGAATTTGGGCTGGAATGGGCAGGTGGAGGGTGTTGGGTGGGGTGTGAGTCCTGCACAACAATTGGAGTGACCACACCCGATAGCCTCAGGTCTTGTTCCCGCAATCAGAACCGTGCTGGGAACGGGTCTGCAGGGATAATACGAGTAATAACAAACTAAAATAAACAAACCCCTCCTCTCGAGGAGCCTCCGGAGCCGCTCCGTGCATCCCGCCCCGGGGCGGGACCGGCACCGCCGGGTGTAGGAGCGCAGGTGGGTCCGGGGCTGGGACGGGGCTGCGGGTCCGGGGGTGTCCCGGGGCATTTCCCCGGCACCTTCGCGTTTCTCACTCGGCTCTTGCCTTGCTGCTGTAAAAAAAGCTTTCCTGTTTTTCCAGATAAAATCCTGGCGGTGCGGGAGGCGCTGTTCGCCGGTGGGTGAAGCGCTCTCAGTCAGGAAATAAAACCCGAGCCAAGCAAAACCCGAAAATATCAGTGGAGATGGAGAAAATAGAAGAGGATGATGACATGACGTGTGGAGACTTGGGAAATGGGCTTGGGAGAAGGCCGGGAGGTGTTTATGAAGGGGAAAACCTAGAAAATCCCTTTTCAGTTAGAACTAGGAAGGGGTCTGGRAAGATTTGTAATCCCCCCTTGTCAGCAAAGGGAGCAGAAGAAAGTGATGGTGCAGCTCTTCCTGGTGCAAAACGAAACAGTTTGCACGATGGATCACTCAAAAAAACTGCTGGTAGCTCCACGCGACAGAATAGCTGTGGTAAGAKCAAATTGGAGGTTAATTATTCATTACGAGAAAAATTTCTGTTGCTGAAACTGAGTCATTCAGCTGCTYCACAAAGTGTCATCGAGTTTAATCCAAACCACTTGCCAAAATTCCTGAAGGGTTCCAGTGCCTCCTGGGATCCTCCAGCTTCCTCCCAGAACATCAGCAGCAGCATTGCTTTTCAGTACTCGAGGTTGTGACCATTCCTAGTGTAAAATGCCCAGTTTTCAAGTGTTTATTTTTGTATTTAAAAGTGACATTTAGTGTAGAACATCCTGTCGTGGATATATGTATCTGTGTAGAAATATATTTATATATATATCTCCTAGGTAGATATATCAGTGTTCATGAAATTGAATGGAATTGCTTGGATTCTTGATTTTTAAATAAGTTTAAATTTTCCTAAAGATGGTATCTAAAGCTTGTGGCTAAATAATTCAAAATCTTGTTTGCTCTTTAGTTGAAATTTGTGGATGGGCTTCCTTTAGGAGTTAGGAAGTTTTTTTAGAACCTGCATTGGCATTCATATTGTTTGGTGAAGGCAATGCTCCTGTAAAAGCAATCAAGTGTAGGCAGTGCTGTTTGCTACAGTCCAGCTGCTTTCCTGACAATTTTTAATATTTTAACAGGGTATTTCTGTGTAACTTGYTTATTTCTCTCCTTTAAACAATTCCCCATTATCCTGTCTACAGTAAGTTGAGCTATCTCTCTCTCTCTTGAAAATTGCCCCTACTTCTAAATAGTGCTAGCTGCCGTTGAGTTGTTGAAAAGTTACACTCCAAAAAGAATCTAAAAAATCAAATTATTTAAAACCAAGATGGCAATTTTGTTGGGTTTCTTTTAGAGGAAATTATAAAATGTTTGTCTTTAATTGATGTCTCTTTTCAACGGATGTTTTCCCTGATTTCACTTAACTGTTTAACTGTGAAGGAATGCATTTGAAGTTTGTATTGATGTATTTTCTTAAACCTGTTTATTAGCTCCACAAGAAAAAAAAAACCAGAAACTAAACACAAAGATGAAAATTCACCTTTGTATGTTATCTGTTTTTAGAGTAAAATCCTCACTTTAAAAAAAATATTACGATATCATTGAGTATCTTCTTTTAATCCTACAGAATCCAATACTGAAGTGTCAATTGAAGAACTAAAGCAACAACTTCGGGAAGCTCTRGAGGTTGGTAACAGTGCCAAGGATGCTGCTCCCCAAATCTGCATTTCTTTTCAGTGTAGCAAGAGGATCTTGGCATGTTGAGAGACTTGGATGGATCCAGGTTCTTGAAATTAGAGTGGTAGATGGAAACTTCGTTAAGTTTTATGTCAGGAAATCAGAGTGTGAGGTCCWCTTTATATTCTGGGTTTTGTTTCTTTGTGGTTTTTTGAGGGGACAGAGAAAGTATTTTTAAAGGTGTAGCAAATATTGAAGGTATTCCTCGACTTTCCCAGATGTTGTTTTTTCATTAAGAATTGGGGCTTGAAAATCTGCAGTGTAAAAAAATTTTGTATTTTTAGTCTGCATTTTTGTTGTAAGGTAGTTAACCCTACTATTTTGATTTTACTGTGGTTAAACATGTTGAGGAGTTGGCATTACAGCCTGCTGACCTCAGCTGTGAAAATACAATTTCCTCTCCACTGTGTTCTTTAAACTCAGGTAAGCCCATGACAAGACATCATACAGTAAAACAGAGGTTTGTTTTTTGAGGAGGGCAGACTTACAGTGCTGTTATAGTTAAATCCTAATAGGATTATCCTGGCCTTTACTCAGTGTATCTGCTTCTTTTTACTTCAGGAAGCTGAAATATTGAAAGTTGAGCTTGAAGCATCTCAAAGACAGCTCGAAGGAAAAGATGAAGCCCTAAGAATCCTGCAGAGCATGGTAGGAGCTGTTCAGAAATCAYTTGGTACTTGGTGGTAACAGAAGGAAAACAGAGGAAATCTTCTGCTGTTCCTCATCAAAACATCAAAAACATTAAGGCCTTCCCAGGGGTGCAATTTAAATCATTGAGTCTGCAGGTGTTTACAGACTTGTCTCTACAATTTACTGGAACTAGTATATTATTTAAGAGGAGTTGACTGTTGTAGCATTTCTCTTAATTTTATCTTTGAGGATCCTTGAGTATTTATCTATTAAACACAAAATTAAAGCCTTTTACCAGTCCCTTACATTAAAGCTYTTCCCAGTGCTTGAGATCCTGCTGAAAAGCCCGAGTGTTTTGAGTTGACTGCTCCATCTGTTGCCCTAGAGGACAGTATGCTTTAAATGTCAGGTCATTCTTTTGTTCACCATTTGGAATGCTTTTATTGCCTTTCATAACAAATTGTGCTGCAATCAGTTCCTGGGATTTAGTCTGCTTACATAACCCATCTCTAGTTGTGCATTTTCTACCCTCACATATTCTCAGAAGTTAGAYCCGGATGAAAGCTTAAGTGTGCTGTAGCCCAGTTTTTTAAGATGTGATTTTCTGCCCCGAAKAAGGCACAATCTCATGTTAAATGAGATCATTTTCTGTAGCAGAGGTTGCAGGATTGAAACCCAAGTTTGTTATGTGAGTTGGTGACTTGAAACCAGAACCCTCTGGGGCTCTGCACACTACTGTTTAATTACAAGTGTGAGYTTTTCTAGGTGTAACACTGGAAATTCAGTCACTTTAATCACAGTATTTGACACAACTTCATTTCGGAGTTTATTTTTTTTGTTTTTTTAATTTTGCAGGCAGTGTTTGATAAAGCCACGAGTCACACAAAAGCAATGCTTCAAAAAACTGAGGAAGAAAAGAGGACTCTAGAGAAGGTAAGTGTGTGTTTCCTTCACACAGAGAARCCCATGGCTATTAAAAAGGGCTCATCAGACTCCTTATTTGAATCATTTGCAAACCTGACATTATTCCAGGGGTTTTATAGAACCATTCCCGTGTCTTTGTAGTAGGAAGAGAAAGATTAATGTATCACTCTTTTGATCTAGTCCTTTCCATGCTATAGTGTGTACAAATAATATCTGAAAATTATCAGAGTTCTTCCTGTACTTTCAGCTGGTGTTTGTTGTGGGTTTCAGTTGTTCAGAGTGAGCTGCACAACTCTTCAATCATTCAGCTGAGACTTCCTAAGGACTCCAAGAAATGGATTCCCTGTTTCATAGGGAATAGGAGAAGGAAGAGGAAGGTGGCACAAGAGCTGCCTTGTTAAACTGAGTTTTTTGCTTTGTTCCTCCTGCTGTTGTTCTGTTCCACCAAACAGGAGTGGGATGGGGAAATGTGACAGGGTGGGTTTGTCTTTGTTGTAGGATTCTAGAAGCGTTAGTTCTGTAACAGAAACTGGAATCCATAGTCAGTGATGTGGAAACTTTGGTTTCCACCAAATTTATTATTGGCATTGTCACAGTTTGTCAGTGTGACCACCAAACCTGGCACCCTTGTCTTCCTTTTCATGGGAACCCTGTAATG